ATAACATCAGTTTTTGCTATCAGTGGGATTTTTTTTCTCTCCAATATATTAATTCTAATTTTTAGATTATTTTCCATCCGCTTTTTTTTTCTTGAATTAAATAAAAACAAAAATAACACCATAGATCCGGAAATGAATAGACTACGCACACATTTTCTAGCTCTAAGTCAAGTTTTAAAAAATCAACAAGTTATACGCAAAAACAAAACTATTATAAGAATGACTTAATATAAAGCAATGTAAGATTTAGTTTCTTTTGGGGAGAATATCTCTCTGCTTCTAAGAAAAAAAACTGAATAGGACTGACTTGACTTCAATACCGGTATTTGGATACATCCTGGGTGTTGCTGTCCCTAGGGACACTACACATTCACTTAAAGGTATAGTGGAGGATTTTCACAAATTTTTGAAAAGACCCGCCCTCTCCACTTAAAACACAACCCTGTGCCCACTCCTGAGAGGGAACGCCTAAACGTGTGCGAGAGCATGCAGGATCACATTTTTCCTCATGCATGCTCTGTTTAAAAGTTGCTGTTTGCATCACAGCATGTTTACTTTCAAAAAGAAGATTTAAATGTTTCCACTATGTCAAACTTTCCACCGGTAAGTGAAAATGTGGACGAGCGCATAGGAAGACCTTACGTAAACATATCACCAGAATGATTGACAATTAGGAGGACCACTTATTTTGATGATCCACCTGTAAAAAGCCTCTACTATACCTTTAAAGGGGTCATAGAATGATGATATAGGGTATTTGGTGCTGGTCCTTAAAGTCTCTGAGTAGGGTGTGTATAATATTGGTTGGGCTGAAAATTGAATATTTGCTGTAACTATGAGCCCTAAATGCAAGCCTGGTTAAAAGCCCAAGAATGAAACAATAAGTTTTCTTCCTTTAATGTTATGCTCATGAATATTTAGATGAACTGTGCGCTGATTGGTTGGTTTACAATGTGTGAAGCTGCTGAGCAAAGACACATCATAGCAACAAGCACTCACTCACTGAAACATTGAAATTGTTGATATGGTAGGGTGACCAGACGTCCTCTTTTTTCCGCTTTCATACCTAAAAAATTTCCGGGGAAAATTTCAAAATCGTCCAGGATACAGTGCAGCAGAACCGAGCCATGAGCTCTGTGGCTGGTGAGGGCTGGGGACGGAGCGACCAAACCAGACCCAGTGACAGTAGCCAGTAAACTGTCCTCCTTTTCAGAAACCCCAAACCGGTCACCCTATATATATTAGCATTGCTATCAACAGCTTAGCGACAGAATCATACTTACAGCTTGTGGTTGTGATGGCCTTTCGGTCGGAACAGACCCTCATTTCAGTAAAAGAAGTTTAGCAAATCCTGCTTTGAACTGTCCAAGACTTTGAAAGCTGTCTTCAATAAAATGCTTAGAGCTAATGAACAGCTGAGCTTCAAACTTTGCAGGGATCTTCTGATCCAGTGGGATGCTCTGTAGGCCAGTTTTGAGGCGTGACAAAAGTACAGGCCAGAACCAAATAAGGCTTCATCCTGAACTGATGTCAGCTTTGTTTAAATTCGCCCGTTTTATGGTGGAAGTTTAGAATTGTGAGATTTGCAGAGAAAGGAGGTGTTGATGGGGTTTGAACTTCTCTGTACGTCCATTTCACCCACTGAACTATCGTTATTCATCTATGAATTTGGTTTTACATTCTATCACCCCTTTAATGACCTGGGGTGGGGTTGGATTTGGCATGGTTTTGTGTAAAGATAGTAGGATATGATAAAATAGTGTCTGGGTTAAGAGTTAGAGAATTTAGAATAAGCTGAATCGGACAGTAAGTGTTTAGAGACTTGGTGTACCTGCTTTGTCAGACTGGTGCTTTGGATCCTGGCTGTTTCAATAGGTCAGTGTGGGTCAGTATATTCTAGACATTCCAGACAGCTTCCAATCAGGGGAGGGCCACCCTGTCGGGGCTCCTCCCTGTTTTTTTGTGGGGACTCTGAGAATCTCTAGTCATGTTTGAGGTTTAGATAGTATGGGCCTCAAAGGAACAGGTGTGGACCTTTAGGGGAGCTGGCCCCACGGGGGGGTTCATCTTCGTACCTTGGCACCTTAATAAAAATCCAAGCACTATTGGAGCAATGTAGCCAGTCTACAGTGGTCCTGGACACAGTGTTTGTTTAGTAAGTTCAATTAAACGATTGAGAAGTGCCCTGGAACATGCAGGCAGATAGTTTTGCCTAAAGGAAAGAAAATGACTGAAATCCCAAAACAGCTGCTATTCTATTCTTCTAAAATCCATCTCAGTGCTGTCATGTTAACTAATTATCTGTATGATGGTCTGTGAGGAAAGATAGTAACATCATAACCTGAGGCTTTTCTGTTCATCTATGCTTTTTTCCCACTTACAACAAAGACATTCAAATTTAAATGAGAAAAAGTAATTTAATCTACCATTTTTAATGTTTAAAGCCAAGAGGCATTACAGTGAACGGTAATCCCTTGTAGAGCATTGTCATAAAATCGCCTCAAACGAACACATAGTGTTTATTACTGCTAATGACTTTTAATACATTCAGCCCAGGTAAAGCTGCAGAAAAGCAATCACTGCGACTGTGTTAGCTGCTAATCTTCTTTTTTTATTATTTTACTGTATAGCATAATGAAGCAGCAGCAAGGCCAGACAAAGCAGTATGGTAATACATTTAAGGACTTATTTACACAGGAATCCAAATTGCTACCACTTTTTTTTTTATGTCTAATATAATTTACAGAGACAATCCTGAAATACTCTGAGACATTGCTGTCAACTCCACCCTCAGTTGCACTGTGATCATCAAATAAGATCAAACAAAACACTAACAAAACATGCAGAAATGCACAGCCAGCTACTGCATAGAGTTAAATAAATATTGTTGTTTTTTTTTTGTTATGCTTATGAAGAGTCAAGTGGTGAGCTGCTGCCACCTAGAGGTGAAGCTTGTCATTAACTCCCCTTAAATTCAGCCTGTGTACAGTTGAAATCATTAGACATCATCTTTTGTTATGAATAGCATATAGATAAGTTTTAGTATTTATTTTTCATTTATTTTGTATGGTTGTTTCACCACACATCAATATATTCAACAATACAATATTAATTTACAGTTTTGTGGCAATCTGTCTGGTGGCATTAGATGTAAATTTCCCTACTTTGCATGTGGCTTTGATAAAGTAGTTGTTCTTGCTTGAGTCGCCTGCAGCCAATGTTTTTGCATAGTGAGTTGAATGAATAAAAAAAAAGCTGTTCTCCTCTTAATCTCTCTGCAGTGTTTGCTTGTGAGGAAAATTTCTGATCTGAGTTGACAAAGTGTCGCAGGAATCCCACTGCTGCAGTGGACATGGTGACAATACAAGGTCTCACCGCCAGGTGTCAGGTTTGGACAGTATTAGAAGGTTTATAACCTGGAAATATCTACTCCTTTTCAAATCCAAAGATTAATGGTAATGCAGTACTTGGAAAAATACTTCTTTGCTTTGGTTATGCAAATTGTATCAAATCTGCATCTTGATTTCTGTGTCTTGATTTACTCTCAGTGATTCTGTAACAAAATAACAGCAATTACTGATACAAGAGGAGGATATTAATATACTGTGTATCATCAAACCTAACCAGCCCTGTTAGTTCACCCTGAGCGTGCCTTAGAACAATGAGCTTTTCAAGGCTTGTCCATGGTTCGTGGCAGCTTCATTAAGCCTTGTATTGAAATAAAGGAATGTCTTGGTTTAAAGCTGAGATATTTTTAAAGGAAAAATGAAAATGTTAACAGGCAGCCTGAAAGTAGTTGGTGAAAACCCTTAGGAGTGATAGTGTGATTATATTGGTGTTTGCTCTGTCTGTCTATGTGATGGACTGCCAACTCCTATGGATGGATGGATGGATGGATGGATGGATGGATGGATGGATGGATGGATGGATGGATGGATGGATGGATGGATGGATGGATGGATGGACTATTAGTATGGTGATATTAAGTATTTAGTGCCTAAGAGAACATTCATAAAAAAATGTTAAACATGTCAGTTGTTTTGATTTTCAAACAATGAAATTAGTGTGTTTACCTGCCTTTCAAATAGCACAAAGACATTGCTCTTTTTCTGCTTAAACGATAGATGCATTGCTGCATTGTGCAATTTAAATAGGACCTGTGTAAGTAGTATACATTTTGAACAAGAGACGATCAAATCCACTTTAGATTCTGTTGAAACTACAGATGCTTATCTCCCATTTTGGGACATTGTCTCCTGTGGTGTATAGCTATATTGCTCTAATAATGCGAACAAGTAAGTTTGCCACCCACTTACCACAGACTTGTTTTTGTTGCTCTTGCCACCCCCTGACCTTATGATGCCCTGAGTAAAGAGCAATATTGTCTCATGACACAAAGCCATTGGCTATATTACGAGTAACAGTAAACATAATATGTTTTTCCCTCTGTATATTTATTCATTTTAAAGAATTAAAAGATAAAAAATGATTAAAATGTCAGTCACTGGTCATTCAAAAAGAAAACAATAGATTAACTAACCTTAATTCTCATTGTTTTGTCATAGTATCTTATAGAGGAAGATCAACTCCAGGATATTCCAGGAATGATACAATTATGACACCCCCCCCCCCCCCCCCCAAAAAAAGAAAAACAACAAAAAATAGACTGAGGTACATTACAATTAAAAATCCAGCATGATTTTATTTTCATTATGACTTTTAAATCAATGTAAATAACAATAAATCCAAAATAATAGAGAATGTAAAATACTACTACAACTAACCTTAATAATAATCAAAGCTTTCCTTTATCCCTCATAGATAAAGCTCCTTAAACCTCTTCAGACTACTCCAATAAACACATGATTTAATCCCTAGCCATTGGGCAGGCAAAATGAAAAGCTCCTTCTGATTGGCCTAATCTGCACGGTCCCCAAATCTGATCAATCCGCAGTGAGGGGCGGGGCTTATCTCTGCGCGGCGGCCCAGCAGAGGGAGCGGAGGAAACCCCTCAGTTGTTGTCTGTTACTGCTGGGACACACTGGGCTGTAAAGGTCGATGTCTGTCAAGTGTATAACTCCTTAACTTGAACAGGGAACACTCCACACTTCTCTGCTTATCTCTGAGAACATACTACCCAGTGGGAACAACAGGTGAGTTCCCCCAAACTTTCTGTTATTTAGGGTTTAACTTGACTTCAGTTAGAAAGAAGTTATCAGTCTGTGGGAAATCAGTGGCTGTCAAACGGTCACACGCAGAGGATGGTGAAGCGCTAGACAACTTCCACTACACAGTGGGTGGAGGAGGTAATGGTGCGGTGTCGTTGTGTCGTAGTTTAGAGTTGAAACAAACGGTTTTTATCCCTATCCGTGTCCGTCTGGGACCCCTTTTCCCGCATATAAACCGCTTCTCTGCTAGCCGTTAGCCCTCAAACTTAGCTTAAACTTAGCTACCTTTCTACTGGAGGGTTTTAGCTAGGTAGCGAAACAGCTTTGTTTCGACTGTCTGAGTTGGACTACGTGGGAAGAAAAAACTTGTGGACTCAAGCATGTAGTGTTTTACAACCGTAACCTGCATATACATTCCCAGGCAGGTGGTTTATAGTGAAGTACTTTGTACTATTGGACTACACGACTGTCATAAATGAGTAGACATATTTGTCAGCATCTCTTTCCTGCATTAAATAAAAAAAAAAATAAAGTTAAATGAAAGTGTCTAGAGAGCTGTTCTAAACGAAATTTCTCTTTATTTACACTTATAAATGGATAAATAAGCAGCCAGTAGCAGGGGCAGAGCTAGTTGGGGGGCCAGGGGTGGCCATGGCCCCCCTAAAAGGCTGGTTATACTACTGCAGCAGTGTGTGGCAGTGAGCTTGATGCAGACATTTTTGATTTATGCTCAAATTTGATTTATGGGCTAGCTACGGCCGAGGCGGTGAGGAAGTGGGGACAAGTTTGTCCGACAACAGAGGGACATGACAGCGAAAAAGAGCGGGGATCCGGGTGGAAAAAGGGTCGCAGTGTTGAAGCACACCTCACTCTTCTAGATGGTCCAACTTCACGAGTTGTTTTCCGCAATTGCGGTCATAAAAACCAAAAAAGCCGGCCTCCTGTCTGCGGCAACCTACAATTTGGGAGAGGTGCAGCAGAGTGTCTGCAGAGGAGGCGGGGCATCTTTTTGTTCACACCTACGCAGACGACCTAGTTTCCAAGTATAAATCAGCCTTTAGCCAATCATTGGCCACCCCTACCATTTTTTCCCCTATAATACAGATGGTGGCAGCAGTAATACTCTCAAATGGAATATTCAAAACATTTTATTTTTTTGTGGTTAATTATACACATTGATATACTAACATCAAAGATGATAAGGACAGAATTCATGCTCTTTTCAGAACTAGATTTTGTGTTATATGGGGTAAAGAGAAAATCATGTGTCTCTGCAAGTCATCTAGGAGTCTTCAGTGAAATCAAAGATGAATAACAATTTTAATAAAAACTTATCAAATAATCAACTCAATCACTATATTAGTGCTTGTAAATATTAATTTAATGCAGAATGTTTATTGATACAAGTAGGTGAGTAATGACAATGGAAAAAATTCACGGCCCAGAACTCAAAACTAAGTTTTATCCTCTATACGTGTTATCTAGAAATTACAGATGTTTAAATATATGCGTCTGTTTGTTAGCAAAGGCTGTAGGAAAGTGTTTATTTAGAAAATATGGATGTGTTGCTGGTTTATTTTCCTGTTGGAACAGTGTAGATTGACCCTGATGTTCTTGTGCCTCTCTGCTTTCGGCCACCCCTCAGTGTACATTGGTTATTGCCTGGCCACCCTTATAAAAAATTTCTGGCTGCGCCTCTGGCCAGTAGTTATTCTCTGAGGCGATGATGATGCTTAAAGTTAGCCTGTCTGATTGTGCTGGAACTAGGTCAAGTGGAAACTTTGCCCTGTACACTAACCATTGTTTTTAAACCACAAACCGATGCCATCTTTTGAAGCCAGTGAGGTTTCTTTAAATTTGTCTCTGTCTAGTTTCACTGGGCTAAACTGGCGCTCTTTTGAGAGGACAAACAGCAACAGCTGCACTCCTCACTGACAACAGCATGTGAGTGTGTTTTCTCATCCGTGTGTGTGGTGCTTGTATGTATCTGTTGTTGTTTCAGTCAGAATAGGGCTGGGAGGCTGTATTAGCAGCATTTCTGGCATGCCAACTGAATTCAGGGTGCTTTTAAGAGAGCAGAACAATAGCTGGTCTGAAAGAACCTGATCTCTGCTAGAAAACGTTGGTGTGTTTTGCATGTTCGTTGGACAGATTAGCCTATTTGTGTCTCTCAGCATTTATGGTCTGGGGCTGCTAATGAATGCAGGGGCCTGTGGGCAGCAGAAGAGATAGGATGCAAAACAGCCACAGGATACTGAAGACCTCTCAAACATGCGAAAACATGTCATTTACAAATTTGCTTTGGCAGGAACTGAATGCCGTGTGTCACGGCTGTTAACGTTGCCTTTGTCCTGTTAGTGATGGCTTTTAGAAATGTGAAGATTCACAGTTTGTGTTCCACTCTGCAAAAAGCTTTCTACTGTTACAGAAAAACAGGATATGGTCTCTCACAAACTGTTGATCAGTGGCATTTTTTCACTTTGTGGCTTTTACCTGCTCAGGAAAGCCTTTCTGTTGCAGTGCACCATATCTTATAGTATTTTTTTTCCGCCTCCTGGCTGCTACAAAGAAAAACAAGAAAATAATGCAAAGTATAGAATAGAACAAGGGAAATATTATGCAGTTTTACTTTAAATCATCCAAAAACAACTGGCCATCACTTCCATGAGAAGGAAACCAGCATGCACATGATATACGACCAGCAGCTAGTGTTGATACTTCCCTCTGATGTGGGAAATGCTCTGACTGCAGCAATTTGGTTCAGATTACAAAGACGTCTTCTTACTACTGAAATCTGCTACTTTGAACTGCCAAAGGGGGTAGATAGCGAAATGTGATATTTGCTGTTAAGCTGCTCCTAAATTTTGAGTGTTTGAAACAGCAGTTTTCATTTTCAGGAGTCCATCTATGCTGCATTTTAGCATCACTGATATGATTCAAAACTTAAGATTGAAGTTGACAGAGAAAATGTGAAGTTGGATAAGGTTTTTTTTAAAAAGGTGTTACTATTTTGCTGCTGGATGAGGTGATTCTGTGATTCTATTTTGAATTTCTATACTTCCTGCCATTGCATGGCTAACAGGTGTATGTTCACTGTAGGTTTACGATATCTAATTGTTATTATATAGGATGTAGTCTCACTAAAGCTTACTTTGGTGAGTATAACAAATAAAAAAACTAGTTCTTGACTTGTTAAACCAAAAAAATTATGAAGTAAAATAAAGAAAAAACAGATCAAAGTTATTTATTAATTTAAAGTTAAAGGATTTGACCCCCTGAATAAAATCCAGAGCAACATAGTGTCTTAAAACATCCCCTCACAGGGTCCACCTGTGTGGCGCTTCTATTCTTCTGTGAAGACCTCACAGATCCATTACTGAGCAATAGTAAAAAATAAAAAAAAATCATCACCAACCCGGTTGAGACTACAGTTATAAAGAGTTTTAGGTTGGATGAGAAGTTTGTGGTGGAGAACTAACCCTGCACATTACCCTGAATACACAATCCCTATGGTGAAGACAAGGTGTTGGCTGAGTCATGCTTTTGACAGGCTTTTCTTTGGTGGGGACAGGGTAGATGGTCTGACTTAAAAATGATTAGAGATTCATCTAACAATAACAGTCCTAAACATCCAGACAGAGCTAGTAGGGAATGTGTTACAGTGGTCCTGTCAAGGTTCAGACCTAAATCTGTTTGAGAAATTTGATGCTTTTCCGTCCAATTTAACTGAGCTTTTTTTGCTGAGATTAAGGATTTTTATTTAATTTTTTAATGTTTTTAGAAACCATATGTTTAGTTTTATATCCCCCTTTCATGTTTTAGACTACCTTTCATTAGTCCGCAACATAAAATCCCAGAACAACACATTTAAGTTTGTGGCTATAACATCACAAAATGTCAAAAGATTAATTGGGTTTTAAATACTATGTGTCTGGGATCCATTCACGGTTGGCGCATTGTGCCGTCTTTCATCCCCTAACCGACATCGAATCGTCCAGTTTTCCATCGCCCACCAATCAATGCTGACTCAGCCAAAGCTGCCATCTGGGCCCAAAAAGAAGAAGAAAAAAAAAAAAAAACACATGACACCCTCTCTGCAGAGCCTCCAGTGCTCTGTTAACAGATTTTGGGTATGTGTGACAGACTGAGAAAAAAAGTGTGAAGACGACTTGATGCAAAATTTGCATCTGATTCTTGGAAAAATCAAAGCCTAATTTAGTCTCCCCCCAAGTTTGCTCAATGCTTTATTTATTAAGTCTAAAGCCATCAACAGAGATATCCTTATAGATGTATTTTTCACTTCACCTTTGCTTTGACTGGAAGTCCCCATTACTACTTATTCAAGGTTATCACTCCTGGATAAAAACAGCTTTGAATGAGGACTCACTGCCTTCAGGAGCCTTTTTAAGTTTACTTAAATCCTACTTGTAAAACAAGGTTATTGTCTTAAAAGCTTAACATATGCTTTACTTCTTAAACTCCCCTACGGTTCAATGTTCAGAACAATAATGTTTCAGAGTCTTCTGTTTTTATTACTATCGAAATAAAGAGTTATTTGTCTGTCGTAGACCAAGGCCTGTGTCGCTGTGGAATACCAGCGCCAGCTTCCTGTTTCACCCCAAACTAGCTGTCTGCCTGCTGCTTTATTTGTCAGTGAGAACAACAGTGTGTACAACTTTGCTGCCTTGTGACCCTGCACACTTCCCACTCACGTTTCACTTTTTATGCTCGCATCCTGTCAGGTCAGCAGCCGCTCCTCCATGACTCTGCAGCACTGCTTTACTGGACTCTGCTCGGCTGTTCTAGGCTCTGTGTTTTCGGTGTAAACAGCCTCTCACATGTTTTCTTCTACGTTTTTTAGGATAATAATAATAATTTCACAGGGTTTTTATATTATTTTGGAGATATTCCTGTGTATTAATATAGCTTTATGCTGACAGATTGCCTCTATGAAACTAAACATTTTAACATAAAGTATTCTAAAA